CGGGCAGGAAGCGCTTTGCCGGCCGAGCCGAGCCGAGCCCGGGCGCAGCCGGCGGCGGGGGCGGGCACAGCCGCGCCGGTGCCGCGGGGGCTGGGGCACGGCGGAGGCAGCGCCGGGATGGGGGTGGCTTCCTGAAGCGCGGGGAGGGAGGGCGGGAGGGGGCTGGTTCTGCGTTTCGGTCCCTCTCCGCCCCCCTCCTGCCCCTCTCTCCCAAGTTCGCCGCTGTGCCGCGGCGCCTCCGGAGCGGCTGGCTGCGGGCTGCCCCTGCCCCGCTCCCGGCGCTGCCCGCGGCGGGGCGGGCGGGCACAGCGGCGAGCCGAGGCGACCCAGGGAGCGGCCCGCCGCCCCCGGGGAAGGCTCTGCTCCGGGGAGCAGCGGGGGGAGGCGGCTGGCACAGGCGCCGGAGCTCCGCCGCCCGCCCCCCGGCACCGCCGCCGTCTGCCCAGCGCCGGCAGCCCCGGGAGATGGTGACACATGAAGCGTGCGGGAAGGACCATGGTTGAGAGGACCAGCAAGTTCTTGCTGATCGTGGCCGTCTCGGTGTGCTTCATGCTTATCCTGTACCAGTACGTGGGGCCGGGGCTGAGCCTGGGTTCCCCCAGCGGCCGCTCCTACTCGGAGGAGCTGGACCTCTTTCCCACGCCGGACCCGCACTACGTGAAGAAGTACTACTTCCCCGTGCGGGAGCTGGAGCGGGAGCTCGCCTTCGACATGAAGGGCGAGGACGTGATCGTCTTCCTGCACATCCAGAAGACCGGCGGCACCACCTTCGGCCGCCACCTGGTGCAAAACGTGCGGCTGGAGGTGCCCTGCGACTGCCGGCCCGGGCAGAAGAAGTGCACCTGCTACCGCCCCAACCGCCGGGAGACCTGGCTCTTCTCCCGCTTCTCCACGGGCTGGAGCTGCGGGCTGCACGCCGACTGGACCGAGCTCACCAACTGCGTGCCCGGAGTGCTGGACCGCCGGGAGAGCGCCGCCGCCAAGACGCCCAGGTACCGGCCGGCCGCCCTCCTCCCTTCCCCGCTGCCCTCGGGCCGCTCGCCCCAGCCCTTGCGCTGCTGAGCCCCCTCCCGTGCGGTGCAGCTCCCTGCTAACGCGCTGTGCCTCAACCTGCCCTGAACCTTTCCTCACCCGGTTCACCTGTCCTCCCCTCCCGGCCTCCAGGCTGTGCCCCGCACCTTCCCTCTGCATACCCAGTCAAATTTCCTGGTCCTTCTCTCCCATGTACCTAGGACACTGCACCCTCAAGCCCATGGTCTTCTGCTCTGGAAGCCTCTGTGGACCCGTTAGCAAGACCATGTATTTGTGCCGTTTACTCTCTCTTGTAAACATTTAGTCTTCACCTCAGACATCACTTGCCCCCTTTTAAGTGCCCTTTACGCCATACCCTAGCCTCAGGCTTGTCTTTCCAATCAGCTTTGCCCTAAACTGCGCCCTGACCTTTTTCCTCCAGCTGAATTTGTTCTCCAGTGCAACCGAGGAGAGGCAGACCAGTCCTCCTTGGTTTAGCCCCCTAGCCTGCCTGATAGTTTTTTGCTCGTTGCAGAAAACATTCCTTAACACCCTTTCTTATGTTCCTTGCTCTTTATCTTGATGGGAGACCTGAGGCGAAGTCTTTTGGAGAAAGGAGTTACCTCCTACATGTTCCCCGAGTCTCCTTCATATTGCACTAGGAGAGAGGGAGAGCCATCCTAAAGCACCTCTCTGCATTTGTGTGGAACGCCCAGTGTGTTTCTGCCCTCTTAGCCCATCGTTTCTCTGCCATGGTCTCTTCGTGAATTACAAGATTCAGAGGAATTTTCTGTTTGAAGTACTCTAGTAAAGACAGTGGCTTACATTAAGATCTCCAAAAGATTGGGGTTTTTAGCTCAATACACTGCCGTATCTTTCTTTCACAAGACTGGTTTTTTTTTTTATTATCACTATTCTTTAACACCACGCACACTTTCTTTGACATATTAGTGCTTTTGTTACAGCACTTTGTAATCTGTTTGCCTTAAAGTGTCGTTCTTAAAGGTGCCCAAGACCTTATGCTAATATTTGCTTATGCTAAATGCTTTATTTATATGCATATCATTAATATCATATATAATCTCTTTAATGAAAAGTGGCCTTTAAGAAAGTATGTTTTGGCATAATGACTGTGTTTTCTCTGTGTATTTTAAAAGCAGTTTTTAATGATTTTTCTTTCCTTGGAGCTGTGTGCCATTGCTGGGGTTCTTTATTGTCTCTGTCATGATTGCTGCTGTTTTCAGCCCATTTCAGTGTTAGTCATCCAAGCTTAGGCTGCTGTCATGCTGCCTGACCCAGCAGCAGCAAACCGAAGTACATAACTGAGTATTCAGGCTTTCCTGTGCTCTCTTATTTTATGATAAGGTTCTTAAAAACACCTCTAGGTGAAAATATCCTCTGCCCATCTAGTTGCTGTTGATATTTTAGCAAGGTATTGTAAGGAAAAATGCGCAAAGTTCAAATCTGACTTAAAAAAGGAACAAAAATTACCCGTTTTGTGAACCTTGACACTTGGCTAGCAAACCATTAACCTTACATAAAGACCTGTGTGGTTTTATGAATTGTTTCAGAGCCTTGTGTGCTTCCATTGGCAATTTTGTATTAAAATCTGTTGCGTGTTCAGGACTCAACTTTCTCATGCTATTCAGGAGTTGCCGTTTTTGTACAGGTACCTGGGAATGGGGCACTTCAGGTTGTGAGGTAGCAATTAAATTCCTTACTGCAACTCATAGGACGTTGAGAATCAGAAGCCTATTGCCTCATCTCACATGCTTGTAAATAACATTTTCCTTGCCGTTTGTTTTGGAGCATCAGGAACTGTATGGTTCTACATACTTCTTCATTGTTTTGATTTTTTGAAGTGCCAGAAAAATAATTAATCCTGCCCCATTCCCTCATGTCTTGGCATATCCAGAAATAGTTCTGCTTCATGTGGGTCTCTTGACTTCCTTTAAGTCTAAGTTAGAACTTCATTTCCAGGAGTGCAAGACCTATGATGTGGAAGCTTTAGCTAATCTAGGGTTTATCACCTTGGTCTGTTGAACTAAAGCCAGAATTTACTGTTCATTGTATCTTGGGGATGGTTTGGTGCAATGAACAGCTGCTGGTTATTTTAATAATACTGTCCTAGGATCCGCTCCTTTGTACTGCAGTCCAGTTCTCCAAACTGGGATTTATTTGATGTCTAAGAAAATGGGGAATAAGAGGCAGGCTGTGCGTGTTTAAAATAAAAATTTGGTGGATTTTCTTTGTTAGAATACGAATAGTCTTGTATTATGTCTGTTGCAGTAAGAGCAATATCACTTTTTTTGTCCACTGTGAGTGTTGGATCTCTTATCTTGATACAGGATATGTTTTTACATAACGTATATGCTAGAAAGGATACTGTTTTATAATGGAACTGGACTATGAAAATATCTCTCTTTCAAAGGAAATAAAAAAGAAAAAGGAGTAGCAAACACCTATTTCAGCAGAGTTCTCTCAGATTCTAATATTATTCAATCTGAATTTTGGAGTACAGTCTTCAAATTCAGTTTTTAAAGCTAACATACTGCCTTCTGCATTTGCTACTTAAAACAAAGTTTAAACCTTTGTTCTTCCAAATATATGTTTATTTCCAAAACAAAACATCTGACTTGTGATTACAAATAAATCTGCCTTCCAGTGAATGTTGGAAAGCATGAAGGTCATTCAGTATTGCCCACATGCACAAATCATGAGGCTCAAGCTGTTCCCTTTGTAAGGAATGCAGTTAGTGCCCTATTGCACTACATTCCATAACCTGGGCATGGAACATAAATTTACAGTGCAATTGCTCTCTTTATTGTTCTGCTGTTCTGTGTTAGGCTTAAGGATTAGGAGCCCTAGATTGCCAAAGACTGCATTTTTTTCCTTCTTCTTTCTGTCTTTCTTCTGCATTGGTACAGTAAGAGTTAGAGATGGGTGTTTTAGTTCTGACGGGTCAGCACTCTTTGAAAAAACCCAAACTACTTGTTCTCGCTCTCCTCCCACCCCCCACTTCCCCCCAGTGACTTTCCTGTTTTGTATTCAAAAGGCTTCTGGATACCACTTCTTGAAGCAAATGTTATGTTTTATACACAGCCAGTAAAAGAAAAAGAGTATTTTGTTTGGGGGCTGTAAAGCTTGGGACTCCAAGGAACTCTGAAGCTGGCTGTGTTTATCAGTTAAGTCGCTCAGCTGCAGTTCTCTTCGTGCCTTTAGTAGAGGGCAAATTCCAAGATTTTGGGAATGGAAACCTGTTTATTCCTTGTGCTGTTAGGCGTAAATAACTGCTGGAAAAGACTTTTTTTAAAGAGCAGCAGTACTAGGATGTGTGCCTTGAGTCATCATGCTGGTATTTCAGAAAGCGGAGGCTAAGCCGCTTCTGTGAACTGCTCCCTTCAGTTTGTTTCACCTAAAACCTGAGAGATCAGATCTCTTCAGTTGATTCTGAAAAAAAGTCGCACTCATTTCTTTAATCTGAATTCCAGAACTAGAAGGATCTGTGAAGTGATCCACGAGTGACTTGTCTGTGTCCTCTGTCAGAGGACTGAAGGAAGGCCCTTGGAGGTGTTGGAAAGGTTCCCTCGTTTGCCCCTGCAGGAAATGGGCTCCAGGGCCCTTCTGGCTGCCTTCTGCTGCCATGCTCCCAGCACGAGAGCAGAGCTGGGTGTTCTGAAGTTGTCCTTGCAGGACACTTCATCCGTGAGCTTGGCTCTAATGTAACGTGCAGCAGAAACAATAAAACAAATAAATTACACTGAAGGAATTCTGTGTGTTTCCTCTCCTACCTCTTCCCAAAAACAACACAAACAAACCCTCAGCAACCCAGGCTTTGTTGCTATCCTGCTGGGTTCCGCTGCCTCCTGAAAACAAGAGCATCGAAGCTGGCACTTTCCTGGAGACACTTTATTCACGTGGAAAGGATTTGAAGGCACACAGCTCCTTTAACACTGCCTTTCTGCCTGTTGTTGGGGAGAGCCCATGAAACAGGGAGAGTGTGGCTGGCTCTGTGCTCCCCCAGCTCACACACAGGCTCTGCCTTCTCTTAGGCTGCTTCAAGCACAGGTAGATTGACCTTTTTTTATGAGCTGCCTCAAGACACGAGCTTAGCCTTGGCTTTATGTGTGTTTCTGTGCTAGTCTGTCCTTTAAGTTTGGTTTCTGAGTTCATCTGTGGACAAAAATGACAAAAGTATGTGCATGCTTCCAATTTCAGTATTTTTTCCTCAAGATTTCATACGCTTTAGAAAGAAAAAAATTGTAATCCACCTACTTTTATGTAAGAAGTCTATGGCAGGTTAGTAAAACCTGCTGTTAAACAGATCAGTTCAAGTTCTAGATCCCTCTGATTAGCTATTTACAGCTTATGTTTTTGGTTGGGTTTTTTTAAAAGAAACAATTAACAGGGCTCAGCAGTTTATTAATTTGATTTTTCTGAAGTGTGAACTTTCACAGCTTCCAACCACATATCTGTCCCTTTGCAGGGATCTGTTCTTGATGAGGTTTTTATTATATGTGTGCTTAGGAGCTGCAGAGACACGTTGTCAAGAGACCAACTGTTTGAGAATGAAAAGCTTTACCAAATCATTTTTATAATATTAGCTCTTTTTAAAAGCTTGGGCTTATCATTCTTTGTGGATCTGTGTTTGTTGGGAGTTGAGAAATATCTGTCTGCAGGGAGCAAGGGCATTTCTTCCACTCACCAGTTCAACTCAGACTAGTTTCTCTAAAAGACTGGTGGAGAAATATCAGTATAAAGGTATTTTCAGTAGCCTGCTTCATCTCTCAAACTTTTAGCATGTGGAGTATTTTAAAGCCTAATAGTCTGATAGGAAACTTTTTGCACCTGGTTGTGCTCACCCATAAGGCCAGGACGATCTTTCACAGCCAAACGATTCCAAAGGGCCAGATAGTTTTGTAGTGAAAATCTTTATATTTGACATAGTTACTAAAAGCAGCTGAAAGTTGGAACTCTTCAA